GATAAAAGACTTCATCTGCTGGAGTCTCAATTTCCAATCTATAAAATGGAGCTAATAATAGTGCTGACCTCGGGGAGTTGTGGAGTGGATTGAATGGGACAATGAACATAAGGTGAGCAATCTTGATACACAGTAAGTACTCATTAAATGTTCACTATTATCACTGTCATTGATTTTATTATCACAAAATAAGGTGATACAGTTTAAAATTAAAAAGACACATCCTGCTAAACTTGCATTTAATTATAATAGAGGTCAATTTTGTATTCTTGGGTTCATATTTTATTGAAAATTATAAAAATCACTGTTAGGGCCTGTAATCCCAGCACTTTGCAAGGCTGAGGCAATTGGATCACTTGAGCCCAGGAGTCTGCAACCAGCTAGGGCAACATAGTGAAAGGCTGTTACTACAAAAAACACAAAAACAAAAATCCAAAAATTAGCCGAGCATGGCGGCACACACCTGCAGTCCTAGCCACTTGAGAGGCTGGCGAGGGAAGATCACTTGAGTATAGGAGGCAGAGGTTGCAGTGAGTTGTGATCATGCCACTGCACTCCAGCCTGGGTGACAGAATAAGATTCTGTCTCAAAAAAAAGAAAAAAGAAAAAAGAAGTCACAGTTGGGAAGAACTGTACTTCTATAAATCTTAATATTTGCACTGTTTTAGTTGCAGCATGACTTATGACTTGAAGTAGATGAATTGAATCTTATTTCATCAATGCCACAATGAAAGAAATAGCAAAATTATCACCCTTTTCCATCCACGTTATGCTTATATGTCTATTTTGAAAAAAGCTTTAAAGAAAGCCTCTGTGTTATTTAGAACAGTGATCTCAAGTCCCCAGTTTATTTATGGGATCTATGGAAACTAGAGTTTTTCTGTTAAAGTTGTAAGCATTAATAACTTTGAAATCCAGGTATAAATCCTTTGAATTCTTTTTAATACTTTAAAAATATGAAATGATATGAAAGGTTACTTTAACATTTCTTCTATTTAAATATCTGTATTTGAGTAGAATTAATGTATACAGTTTTGAAACAAGTACTGCACTAGTGGAATACATGTAACAATAAATGGAATAGTAAATTTTCATTTTCATATTTTTTCCTTTCTGCTAAAGTTATAATTCATTTTAGAATAAAAAATGAATCTTAGAAAACCCAAGAAGACAAAAATGAATACAGTCATATAAAGAGCATCTATCTTGTTCTGTTATAGAAAGTAACAATTATACCTGGCAAGAATGGCTGATTTAAATTCTCTAACCATTTAATCTAACATTGCCTCCTGTTGATACTCCTTTTATTTTCTAGCACGGTACCCTACTGTAGTTTCTTTATAGCACTTATCATTATCCTATTCATTTACATGTTTACTTGTTTATTATCTGCTTTCCACTGTTGGTTATAGGCTAAATATAAAACTTTATCCTCTTTACTGAAGCATTCCTATCACCCAGAACAGCACCTGGCCCAGATGTGACACTCATTTTTTATTTATTGACAAATAATAATTAATTTTTTAAAAAGGATGAGTATGAATTTTAAAAAAATTTTGGCAAAAAATTCTAGGAGGGTGAAAAAATGCTCATTAGTAAATAACTTGTCCTTATAGAAGTTTATATTTAATAAATCAGTAATATGTTTTCATTTAGCAGATGAAATGAGATACATGTAAGTATAGTAAATGGACAATTTTCATTTTTTCTCATATATTTAATTGCTATTTTCTCCCATGAGATTCTTCAAACAAAGCCAACAGGATAGGCAACATTTAGGGGGTTTTCAATAAATCTCTAAGAGTAAAAAAAAAAATCAAAGAAGAAATGAACATGGATTTTTTTTTTTTTTTAGAAATGCTCTTGTTTTTAGTTCTTAATAGGGAGGATCTAAGTTTACACAGAATATGTTCAAGACATTTATGTTTATTTTCAAACAGCAAACTCTTTATACCCTTGTCCTTCAAAACATACAAATGTATCAATGACTCAGAATTTCTATCAAGCTTCCAAATCATTTGTTACACAAGCATTGCCTCTCAGTCTTCAGGCTGAATGGTAGACATTCTACCTAAATCAGTGAATACACATAGAATTTAACTTTTCTGATTCCAAGAATGACAAGCTGTCATTTGCCAAATCTAAGTGTCTGCTTAGACATGTTAATCACATACTATAATGTCTATCATTATTCTCTTTAATGGAAAGAAAAAAGATAAATTAATAAAAAGATATTAAGCTATTCCTTATGTAGAAATATTAAAATGTTAAATACATTTCAGGTGTAAAAATTTGAAAAATGTTCTCATAATCTTCATACTGCCAGAGCAGTACTGGACAGATGTGCCTGCCGGTCATTGTGGCCATTAGTTTATCTCTGTTGTGGTGGGTGGAATGCAAAGAACCACCAATGTCCTTGATATCACTCTCAAAGTTAGGATATTAGCAGGAACATCCAGTCATAGCACCGGAACTGATTCAATTTAAAAGGAAACCAAAAGCTCTCTATATTATATTTAGTCCTGTCTGGGTTGGCTGGGTGCAGTGACTCACGTATGCAATCCTAGCACTCTGGGAGGCCAAGGAAGGCAGATCACCTGAGGTCAGGAGTTTGAGACCATGCTGGCCAATATAGTGAAACACTGTCTCTACTAAAAATGTAAAAATTTGCTGGGCGTGGTGGTGCACACCTGTAATCCTCCCAGCTACTTGAGGAGGCTGAGGCAGGAGAATCCTTTGAACTCTGGAGGCAGAGGTTATAGTAAGCCTAGGTCACACCACTGCACTCCAGCCTGGGCAACAGAGCAAGACTCCATAAAAATAATAATAATAATGATAATAATAATAATAATAAAAGAAAGTGTCTTGGTCAAAAACAAAACAATGTAAATGTTATCTACAGAATGTACAAGTTTCACTGTTAACTGTAACTGTCAGGACTCGATCATCTGCTATCACATTACAGAGAAAAATAGCCTCTGTCACATCCAATTTAAAGTGAAAATATTAACTTAAATTAAATACTCCTTCATAATTTTAAATTACAGAGGATTTACATTGGCTTAATCCGTAAATTATAAGAAACGCAAAACAGGGATATTTCTATCTTAACATAGAAAGTATACTTTTTATCGGGTTTGATTTAAAGTAAAGGTGTGTTGAATGAAGGCTGTTCTCATACTCTTGTTCCCTCAAAAAATTGGAGAAACCATCATTTACTACCATCCATGCTGTAAATAATTTTACTTCATCTCTCTCCTATTTTCTCATCTCAATGAATCTGTGATTCATGCTGCCCCAAACAACCATATTGATTCTTCTAAAATATCACTTTGCTCACACTATTCTTTGACTCAAAAGCGTTTCCTTTCATTCCTTCAGGATTTTCTCCAAACACCTTCACTTACATTCAAGGCCCTTTATTTTAGCCCCTTTCACTTTCCACTCTCTTCTTCCATTATTACATGCAACGGAAACCACTAGTAGCTTTCCATTTAGGTTCCCCACATCCTCTTTCTAGAGATTGTGCTTTTCTTTATCTTTCTCATGGAATTTCTGGTTGCAGAAACATCCTCCTCTCCATCTTTAATGATTCTCCATTAAGATCTAGCCCAAATACCATTGCCTGCACAAAACGTTCTCAGAGTATACCCACATAAAATACCTCTTGCTGCCAGGTGTGGTTGCTCATGCCTGTAATCCCAGCACTTTGAGAGGCCAAGGCAGGCGGATCACCTGAGGTCAGGAGTTCAAGACTACCCTGAACAACATGCAGAAACTCCATCTCTACTAAAAACACAAAAATTAGCTGGGCATGGTGGCACATGACTGTAATCCCAACTACTTGGGAAGCTAAGAAAGGAGAGTTGCTTGAATGGAGGAGGAGGTTGCGGTAAGCCGAGATTGTGCCATTGCACGCCAGCCTGGGCAACAAGAGTGAAACTCCATCTCAAAAAAATAAAAAAAGATATATCTTGCTTCCTGTGAATACTCATTACATGGGGATTCCTTATTAATCATATATTTATTGAAGACAGCTTTGAACTTATTAATTATATACTGCGATGCCTTCAAACTTTTTGTGTGCTTATAACATCTCCAAAGGTAGATTATGAACTCCTTCAAGGCAGAAGTCATTGGCTAAAATTTCTTTTATCTCCTGCAATAACTACCATGGTGTCCTTCACACAATAGCACACAATTAGTGTTCCTCAAATCATGTGTTTCTAAAATATTCAAGAAGTAAGCAGACTTTATATACGAGGAAACAGACCCAGAATAATTAGTTCACATACCTAAAGATGCCTGGCAACCAGTGAAGGTCTGATTTGCTTTATTATTTACAATCTTTTCTACTTTTAACAAAGTTAATGTTGTTTTGTTAGATTAGTTGTTCCTAAGCCAAATAATTTACTAAATACACTGATTTTAATAAAATATATGTATATCTGTTTGTATGTACATAACTTCATATATGTACCTATAAATAAAATGTATAAATGTTTTAAGTGTCTCTGGAGATTCTGATATTCCAAGGACAACTCTAGAAAACTTCATTTCAGTGATTTGTAAAATAAAATAATAAAATGCAAGAATTGTGATGACAGTGTGAACATTGATTTTTTCATGCATTTTGAGTGACATGATCAATATTCTAAGGAAAACCAACTATTACAAAAGTCTCTGAAATCCTATTAAATCGTGTGTTCTACCATATCGCACTGTAAATATATCAGTGTAAATTGACATTTCCCAGAAGATGGATAATAGTTCAATTATAATTTCAATAATGTTTAGAATATAGTAGACAACAGCAAGTTCCATTTTATAATGAAGGCTTTAGTATACCAGTATACTGAAGAAATAATATTAACGAATATTTTTAAACCAACAAGAAGAACTTGAGTTCTGGTTAAAGCTAGCCTGACATACATTGGATTTATCCTTTTAAAGTGCTTTATCTCTCGGTAGTTTGATGTTAATGTCACAATGTCACTTACCATCTTTCAGGATGGTTTCTCGCTCTGTGCCATCTATCTTCTGCCGGCCAATTAGGAAACTGGTGGTGTCAGCAAAGTAGATATAATTGGTTTCTGCGTGAAAATCTAAAGCACGAGGGTTTACGAGATTTTCTATGGGGATCATGTATTCATCAGCTATCTTGGTATTCAAGTCCATTCCTCTAACAATTCCTGGGCGCCCTTTTCCATAAAAGAGGAACAACTCATTCTTTGGTCCTGCAGAGCAAAGATTACAAACATAAACAACTGATGCTGCTTAATCTTCTTTATACTGCATAATGCCACTGTTTAATTAACTGGCACAATTAGTGGTTTTTAAATTCAATGCTAAAAATTAAACTCTAAAATGTGCCAAATGTATCTTGATGCTAGAAGGCCAGCTAATTGCATTACTTTAATTAAAACAGAAATTACTTCCATGAATGGGTTATATGTAGTTAATTATCCTTTTGTCCGTAACTGTCTAGATAGCAAAAACATGACAGATCATTAGATAACTTGTAAAATGGGCATTTATAAAAACATCCGGCACATTTAATTTTGTAGTGTATTACAATCTATCTAGCATTTTCTGTTGATACTAACTGTACCATTCATTATATTTGACAATGCTAAAAACGTCAGAACATTTAAGACACACCAACTCCAAGTCTGCATCTGCAAACTGTCAGAAGCAAACAAAGAATCATATAGTATTATTAACTTGCATGTGAATATATTACAGTTGCCTAAACGTGTGACTTATTCTTTTTAGAAATAAAATTAAACACCAGTTATGGCAACCCTTTATCTTCTAATTTTAATGAATCTTAGAGGCTAATGCTGTCTGATAGTAACTCTGATGTACAATACAGGCCTTATCAAAACAAAACAAAACCAAAAACCCCAAACAAAAAACTGTCTCCTGAGTTTAAAATGTCAGCATCAAGGTAGCTCTATCTATAGAATGAATTTCCTTTTTTGGACTTCTATATAGAAAAAAATACAAGAATCTCTAAGTACTGGGGCATCTTAGGCTTGGTTTACTATAAATAATTTTAAAGAAAATATTATGCATAAGGAAAAACATACTGAGCTTTATTAATAAAACTGAAGATACAAAAGACTCAGTTGTATTTGGTTAACCACACAATAATTGATAGTCATAGTAAAGTAAAATAATATATTATTAAAATTTGGAAAATAATAAAAAGCAATTATTTATAAACAATACAAAGTACTGTTTTTAAAATTATTGTAATTGAATATTAAATATATATAAAAGATTATTGATAACTTTTAAAAAAATTTTACTTCAAGTTATGGGATATATGTGCAGAGTGTGCAGGTTTGTTACACCAATAGTATACATGTGCCATGGTGGTTTGCTGCACTTATCAACCCGTCATCTAGGTTTTAAGCCCCATATGCATTAGGTATTTGTCTTAATGCTCTTCTTCCCCTTGTACCTCACCCCAGACAGACTCCAGTGTGTATTGTTCTCTTCCTGTGTTCATGTGTTCTCATTGTTCAATTCCCACTTATGAGTGAGAACATGCAGTCTTTGGTTACACCTTATACCTTATATAAAAATTAACTCAAGATGGATTAAAGACTTAAATGCAAAACTGAAACTATAAAAACCTTAGAAGAAAACCTAGACAATACCATTCAAGACATAGGCATGGGCACAGATTTCATGACTAAAACACCAACAGCAATTTCAACAAAAGCCAAAGTTGACAAATGGGATCTAATTAAACTAAAGAGCTTCTGCACAGCAAAAGAAACTGGCATCAGAGTGAATAGGCAACCTACAGAATGGGAGAAAATTTCTGCAATCTACCCATCTGACAAAGGTATAATGTGCAGAATCTACGAGGAACTTAAACACATTTATAAGAAAAAAATAAACCACCCCATCAAAAAGTGGGCAAAGAACATAAACAGATACTTCTCAAAAGAAGACATTTATGTGGCCAACAAACATTAAAAAAAGCTCAGCATCACTAATCATTGGAGAAATGCAAATCAAAACCTCAATGAGATACTATCTCACACCTGTCAAAATGGCAGTTATTAAAAAGTCAGGAAACAATAGATGCTGGCAAGTTTTTGGAGAAATAGAAACATTTTACACTGTTGGTGGGAGTGCAAATTAGTTCCACCACTGTGGAAAACATTTGTTCTACAAGTATAGTGATTCCTGGATCTAGAACCAGAAATACCATTTGACCCAGCAAGCCCATTACTGGGTATATACCCAGGGGAATATAAATCATTCTACTATAAAGACACTTATTCACACAAATGTTTATTGCAGCACTCTTTGCAATAGCAAAGACATGGAACCAACCAAAATGCTCATCAATGATAGACTGAATAAAGAAAATGTGGTAGATACATGCCATGGAATGTATGCAGCCATTAAAGGAATGAGATCCTGTAATTCTAGCAAAATTTTTGTCTTTATAATTTATAAACTCCCATATGCATTAGGGGCTTTATGATTTAGAAAGACACATGCACATGTATGTTTCTTGCATGACTGTTCACAGTAGTAAAGACTTGCAACCAACCCAAATGCCCATCAATGATAGATTAGATAAAGAAAATGTGGCACATATACACATGGAATACTATGCAGCTGTAAAAAAGAATGAGATCATGTCCTTTACAGGGACATGAATGAAGCTGGAAGCCATCATTCTCAGCAACTGAGACAGGAACTGATATCATATTTTCATATATAGAGAGTAAAAATAAAACAAATCCCAGGTACCTGGCACAAATCTGAATGTTTCCAGTACACTGGAAGACATGAATGTGTCCCAAACCCATTCTCCAACTCAGAAAGAGCCAATATCCTGATTGTTGTGTTTATTACATATTTTTAAAAGATGTTTAGCACATATGTAGTGCATTTCCCAGAAGCAGATTAATTTTTCATGTTTGAATTGCATGTTAATTTTGTGATTAATTTAATTTCTATTATATCCTTGATATTCATCCACTCTTTTGTAGTCATAGTTCATTCCTTTTTATTGCTCTATAGCATTCTTTTGTATGACTATCTCATATTTAAAGTATGCAGGTAGTTTTTCAATGTATATTTACTTATATCAAAGTAGACACGCAATTTTGTATTCTGTTCTTATTGACTAATCTTAGAATCAAGATTATTATCTATATTAAACCATTATTTTAAGCCTTGTTTCTGTTTGATATATAATAATTTACCAAAATTATTGAAATTACTCTGTAATTTCCAAATGGTTTTCTATTTTCATCATTATAATAATGCTCAGATAAGCATACTTTTTTCAATTTAGCATTTCACACATTTTCTTAGATGAAATCACAGAATAAACTACATCAGCATCCTTATCCTCATTGCCCTCATAGCCTCTCAGTGTCTACCTGATGTCAAGGACATTTTATTTTAAAATAACACTTCATTTGATTTTAAAGTCTATTGATCTATTTGAAAAATATTAACATTTCTAAGTATTTTCTATCAATATTACATACATATATACTTTTATATTTTTCAAAAACTGGGATCTTATATAAAAAATCATTTTACTGTAATGACTTTTTGTCATGTCACTAAAAAGTCTTCAAACATTCCTTTCAATGGCAGCATAATATTCCCTACTAGATAAGCAATATAATACAATCAGCTTACCTATGTATGGATAGCTATATTGTTTCTTAGTTGCTTTTATTATAAATACATTTAATTTTCTCAATCAAAAGTAGGATAACTTGTCAAATGATGGTGTCAATTTTATGATCATTATATTTTTTACCAAATGTCCTATCAATTGTAATATCAATTTCTAATTTTTTTAGCAATGCACAGAAATGTTGGTTTTACAGTGCCCATTTTGCTAAGATCTGGGTTCACTGCAACCTCTGCCTCCTGGGCTCAAGCTACCCTCCTACTTCAGCCTCCCAACTAGCTAGGATTACAGGAGTGTGCCACCATGCTTGTCTAATTTTTGTAGTTTTTGTTGAGACTAGGTCTTGCGATTTTGCTCAGGCTGTTCTTAAACTCCTGGGCTCAAGTTATCCACCTGCTTCAGCCTCCCAAAGTGCTGAAATTACAGGCCTGAGCCATCACACCAACGCTGGGTTTTACTTTTAATTGATGTCTTAATTGGTAATTGGTAAACCTAGTACTTCATTGATTTAATATGTGTGAGTGTTTGTGCATGTATGTAGGTATGCATGTATTAAATAAGAATGGTAATGATCTTCCCCATTATTTTCTTTAGTCATTTCCTAGGCATTTTTTAACGCCTCTTTAAGTTTCTTCTAGTGTGCCTTCTTGTACTATAGACAATTGAATACTAAAAATTATGTTTCACAGACACTCATATAGCCAAGAGTAGTGGATTTCATTTAACTACCTAAAATCAGGTATAGTAGCTCAAGTTTAGAATATGGAAGTGAGGCAAAGGTCCCCTTTTTGTCACTTCTGCTGGTATTAATCTAACAGAGACATTGAATTTTTCCACAGCAGTCTTTTTCCATTCCATATCAAGAGGCGAGGAATAGGGTGTCTCGCCCCTCCTCCTCTTTTTATTTAATTTAATTAATTTATTTACTTCTGCCAGTTAGGGACTATCAGATGTGACTTAAGTCTGTATCTGATAGTTGTGATGTAAGGTTTCTAATCCCTGGATCTCAGCTAAATGTTATGTTTTTAAAGTTAACATTTTCATTTGTGGCTTCCTGATGCCCTATCTTCTGAGTATGGTAGATGTTCCAGCTTTCAGACAGGTTAGTTTAATGGTGTTTGGGGGAATGTTTCAAAGACCCAGTCTAGAAGCTAATGGTCCAGGTTTTTCAAAGGTTTTGTAGGCACCTATTCGCATTAAATCCCTTTCTGCTTCAAACAGCTGGAATGACTTCTGATGAGTATTACTGTACCCCAGTGATATACTACATTAGGGATGATTGAACAATATGCAATTCTGATCTTACGTTTTTCCCCTAATGTGTGTATATATGTATGTATGCATATATGCATGTGTGTATGTGTGTGTGTGTGTGTGTGTGTGTATGTGTGTGTGTGTGAGATTATATTTCCCAAGTGGCATTCAGATCAATTTTTAAAATGCTACATACACACACTACATACACACACATGGACCCCCACGCTAAACTACTTTTATTGTGAGGCTTCAAACTCAGTACCCTCAATTATCCAGAAGGCCTAGGAACATGAGACCTGATACCTTCACATTCCCAGCATTTAATACAAAATCAGAAATACAAATTAAAAATGTAAACAAAGTACAAAAATGAATACATTTTAACATAGTTTACCCTCTTAGGTTCTTCATTTTTAAACTATATATTCTATTACTAATAACGCTAACCATTTAGACTTAAAATTCTCACACATTTAGTGATCTAATTTCACAGTCCTCAGTAAGCATATAACCAGAGTAGAAGCGATGGCAGGATTGTGACGAGAGAGAGAGGCCTGACAAAATAAAAAGTTGTCACTTTGACAGACTGGACACTGGAAAAAGCAGTCACCATAAAATTAAAAATAATGGTGTTTGGGGAAAATTTAAAGAATAACAGTCCCCACTAGGACCATTTTAACCAGAGTCATTCTGCTATATCTGATTATCAAGACCCCAGGAAAAGACCTTAACTAATTATTGGCAAAATATTAAGTTATGAAAGTCATTTTAAAAATATTTATTACCATATTTAAATTAAAACAAGTTGTGCTGGCTTATTTTAAAAATAAAACTATATATATAAGAGATTAGAACATTTTTGTTAACATTATTAAATGTTTGATATTTAATTAGTATCGCTTCAGTTACTTGAAAATTAAATCATGAAGTAAATCAGTCCCCAGTGATCCTGGATAAAGTGAAGCCTCACTATACATGGGTTTCTGTTGAACCAAGCAACACACCTATTATGAGGAGTAACATTGGTTCAGATGAGAGGAAATCTGATCAACTAATAATTCCAGCTCATTAGCTCAAAAACATTCCTTAGGGAATTAAGGAAAGCAACTTCCTAGAAATCTTCCTTAACATATATTTCCCTAAAATCAATAAATTTAGTGATTCTACAGCTTGGTTAGTTTCTCGTTCATATTATCACACAAAAAAAATACTTATTTTGAGAAAAACGGACTGTATATATTTGTAGGCAAACTTCACCTGATGAAGTCTCATGTTATGACTGATGTTGTTGCTGCTAATTAATACTTAAAATCCTATTCTGAAGTGGTAGCTGCTGGCAAAATGTTTGATTTTAACAACATACTTTTGCATGACCTGCCATCACTTCCCAAGTTGAAGCCAGTCCTGCAGCGACAGGTCCGAGTTTTGTAACTGCTGCTGAGTAGACAGATGTGTGAACAGCCCCCTGGCATTCCATATGGATCCACTTCACATGCATGGCTTCTGACTACAACAAATAAAATACAGCATGTGTGAAACTCAAGTTCAAAGGCAAGATAACTATGTCCATCACTATGTCAAAAATTTTTATAGTGAAAAAAAGGAATCTTAGCAACATTTTATATACTCAATTATTGAGCACCATAATTGAATACAAAAGAGGTTAAACCCCATAGAAGAAGATAGGGATTTGACAGAATCCTCCTAAGTGAGCATTAAAAAAAAAAAATTCTAAGAAATAAAATCTGTTTATACTAATTTAAACTCTTCACAGGTGAGCAAAATAAAGGTAACATGACTTTTTTGGTACACGCTTTTCGTCCTTTTTTAAATACCAATTTCTAAAATGAATACAAAGATCCATAAAAATAATCCCAGGTTAGGTAGTTAAGCAGAGAAAGGATTTCCTTTGAAACAATTCATCATATGGGCACCTAAACTATAAGAAATGTGATTGCGTGATTATGTATACTCTGTTGAGAAGTGCTGAGGCAAAATATTTTTAAAATTTTTCAGTCTGTTGTCATTTTGAGACTCCTACCACAAAATAAAATGTGTGTGTGTGTGTGTGTGTGTGTGTGTGTGTGTGTGTAGTTGTCAAATGGTGGAGGCTGAGTATATACAGAAATTGAGGAGTAGAAGAATATTTCATGAGCATAAGAACCTAAGAACCAGTAAACAAAAAAAGTAAGAAAAGTAATAAATGGAGAGCAAGAGAAAAGAAAGATGAATCAAAGTGAAAAAAATAATCAGAATATGTACGATTTTATGTATTATTGTAATGATGTTTCTTTGAGCTCATCCACTTGTTTGAAATGATGATGAATACCATGGCAATATTCTCTTTATAATAAAACTACTATACTTTTAAAAATTATGCTTATTCTCTTTATATTCTTTATTCTCTAAATGGAAAGATGAGTGAAATGCAATTTTACCTATTTTTTCTCTGCCAAGAGTGTTATTTTTGTTTTCTAACCTCACTCAACTTATATGATAGATCACATCTCCTTTCATCTAATCACCAGTTCTCCACTTTCTCACCTTTATCACTGCTTTTGCTTTTTCCATTGGATCGTGTCCATTAACATACAAATACCATTTCTACATCTAATAAAAAAACCTTTTAACCCAGATTCCCACAACAAACCTTCTTTCAACTAGCTCTCCATTTCTCAGCTCTAACGTACATCTACACTATGCAAAGTTACCAATGACCATTTTCTACCAGTCTTTTTCTTTCTCTCTCTCTCAAACCCATTCTACTAAAGTATTCACTTCATCCTGAAACTGCCTTGTCAGATTCCAATCAGCTTCATGTTGCTAAATCCAATGGTCAATTGTATTTAAGAAGCTTCACCTCAGTCTCCTCTTTTGTTTTTTCCTATTGTTTTTGCCTTATTGTTGGAATATACCAGTGCTCATTTCTTGGAATCTTTTTTTTTTTTTGAGACGGAGTTTCGCTCTTGTTTACCCAGGCTGGAGTGCAATGGCGCAATCTCGGCTCACCGCAACCTCCGCCTCCTGGGTTCAGGCAATTCTCCTGCCTCAGCCTCCCGAGTAGCTGGGATTACAGGCACGCGCCACTATGCTCGGCTAATTTTTTGTATTTTTTTTTTTTTAGTAGAGACGGGGTTTCACCATGTTGACCAGGATGGTCTCGATCTCTTGACCTCGTGATCCACCTGCCTCGGCCTCCCAAAGTGCTGGGATTCCACCCGCCTCGGCCTCCCAAAGTGCTGGGATTATAGGCGTGAGCCACCGCGCCCGGCCATTTCTTGGAATCTTATTCCTCCATTTGTATTTACTTCCTTGGTATTCACATCCATCATCATGGCTTTAAATGTCACCTATCTGCCAGTGACTCTCACATTGGTATCTCAAGCCTGGACTTCTCCCTTCAACTCCAGAGCTGTACATTTAAATATCTCCTTAATATTGTCACTGTAATTTATAATAAACATATAAAGTAACTCATGAAAATTAATCCTACGGTCTTTGTCCTAAATCCACTCCATGCTTAGGTTCCCTATCTAAAAAATAAATTATTTCGACAACTCTAGCTAGTCCATTGTCATTATCCTTAATTCTCTTTTCATTTATACTCCACGTGTAATGTGTCAGAAAATTCTGTTGGCCCTATATTTGTCTATATTCTGAATTTCACTACTTCTCCCCACTTTCACTGCTGCCATCTTGATCTAATCTATTATCCTCTGTAACCTTTCATCCTTCTCCTCCTCACTACCTATTATCAACGGACTAGCCCTATGGTTCTTTAAAAATGTTAATCATACCATGAGATTTTTCTGTTTAATGCTTTCTAAGGACTTTCCATCTCACTAAAAGTATAAACACAAGTTTTTTATAATAGTCTACAGAGCCCTACTTGTTATGGTCCTCCTTTGTTTCTCCAGCCTCATTTCCTACCTCTCTTTTCCTCATTCATTCTGCTTTAGAGACATACTTATTCTTGTCACTCTTTAAATATTCTAGACATGCTCTTTCCTCATGGCCTTTGTGCTTCTTCATCCCTGTTGCCCAGAGAGCCCTGATATGGTTTGTCTGTGTCCTCACACAAATCTCATCTTGAATTCCCACATGTCATGGGAGGGACCCAGTAGGAGGTACTGAATCATGGAGGCAGGTCTTACCCATGCTATTCTCATGACAGCAAATAAGTCTCATGAGATCTGATGGTTTTAAAAAGGGGAGTTTCCCTGAACAAGCTCTCTGACTGCTGCCATCCATGTAAGTAAGATATGACTTGCTCCTTCTTGCCTTCTGCCATGATTGTGAAGCTTCCCCAGCCACATGTAATTGTTAAGTTCAATCAAACCTCTTTCTTTTGTAAGTTGCTCAGTCTTGGGTATGTCTTTATTAGCAATGTGAAAATGGACTAATACAACCAATCCCCATGCTGTTCTTCAAATACCTCAAGTCACCATTCAATGCTGTCTTTTCAATGAAACTTCTTCTGACTATTCCACATAAAATTGAAGACTTCTCCCATCCCTGACAACTTTATCCTCCCTACCTTCTTTATTTTCTCTATGACACTTATTATCTTCCAATATAATACACAATTTACTTAGTTATTTTGTATTACAGCTTCTCCACTGGAGTGCAAATCCATAAAGGCAAGAGTATTTTGTCTGTTTTATTCACTGCTATATTCACAAAATATATAGAATAGCTCCTGGAACATAGTAGATTGTCCATGAAAAATTGATAAATGAATAAATCCTAATATTAAACTCTAATAAGCTTACAGAATTTAAAATTTGAATCTGTTGTAAACATATTTGTGACAGTGTACAGCCATGATTAGGTAGATGATAATGCTTAAATAATTATAGATTAGTTTTAATTTGAAATGCAAGCATAAAATATAACAAAAATGTGGGCCGGGCACAGTGGCTCAAGCCTGTAATCCCAGCACTTTGGGAGGCCGAGGGGGTGGATCACGAGGTCAAGAGATCGAGACCATCCTGGTCAACATGGTGAAACCCCGTCTCTACTAAAAATGCAAAAAATTAGCTGGGCACAGTGGCGCGTGCCTGTAGTCCCAGCTACTCAGGAGGCTGAGGCAGGAGAATTGCCTGAACCCAGGAGGCGGAGGTTGCAGTGAGCCGAGATTGCGCCATTGCACTCCAGCCTGGGTAACAAGAGTGAAACTCCGTCTCAAAAAAAAAAAAAAAAAAATAGTAACAAAAATGTTAGCTGGTGATTTTTTTATATTTTCTTATTTTATGTATGATTGAACCTAAATTGTATTGATGACCAGCATCACTAATCTCCTATAGAAATAACTGGTTTGTTTTTCTGAGAAAAACTGCTTTCTCATTAAAAATTACTTTTTAATGAACATATGCTAAAGAACAATTGAAATGTTAAGTTAGGAGAGCCCAATGATTATAATAAACACTGGACAGAAATTGCAAGGCAGTCACCTGGTTTTAAATATGTCTACGAAAATTACACCGAAAAAGGAAAAAAAAATAACCTTAGTATCTGGGTTTCCTGTCTGCATATATCACAACTGAAAGCCCGTTCCTGAATCTAAACCTAGCTATCATTTCAATTCCATTGTAGAAACGATTCACTAGGAACTGAACAATTTGTCATTTAGACTTGTGAAGGGAGCTCTATTCCATTTAACAAGCAGACATGCCCACTTTTGCTGTCAAAGCAGAGAATTTATGACTCACTCACTTCAACACCTTACAAAAGCACAAGGACTATATCCCCATTCAATCTACCATTAGGAAGGTTATAAAGAAGTCTGCCACTTACCTGTTGGTTGAGTTCTTTTTTGATAAATTCGGATTCCCTGAGCATTTTCCATTTTAATTAACGAGCGAATATCAGTGCCATTAAATCGGTTTATCCTTATAATATTGTAGTTATCAGAATTGGTTGCATACAAATAATCTTCAAACACAGTTATACCATAAAGATGTCTGACCTATAAAAAGTGCAAAACATAACTATGAGTTTTAATTATGCAGCTTTTAATTTGAAAGAAAAACAAATTGCAATTTACTAGTATGGAAAACGACTACAGCAGGAGAACCACAAGGATATTATTTACTTTTTCTCAAAGAATTCAACATTTCACTGGTTAAAACTTTTCATCTAGAGAAGAAAATATTATGTAGTAGTGTTTAAAACAGTTTCAAATGCAGGGAGAGAATTTTATTTATGTGTCATTAGGACAGTGTATTTAGTAGTTATTTTTTAAAGGCTTGTAAGAGCAAGACTTTCAAGCATATTCAATAATATGCCTATGACACTGTTATATATAATTTGAGATATTTTAGGGGCTACTTGTTTATATAATAATGGATATGTAGAATTTGCAAAAACATAGCTCTGCCTGCGAAAAGACTAATGAGAAACCACCTCTGAAGATTTGTTTTATAAATTCAAAATTCAATTTTTTGGTCCCAAGCTATGTTTAGACTAGCACTTGCTCCAGCACAGAAGATAACATATAAAGAAATCACATATTTGCAATCATCGTAAATAAATGTCAGCATTTCACTCAGAAATTGCATTATTTCTAAAGCCAATTTATAATGGGAAATGGAACTGTTTCTTTGAGAATTATGTTTATTGCTATCCATATACTTAGATAACAGTCCAGCTCTTTTCTTTGGCAAAGATATTGGGTTTATGAGGAGGAATGGACTTCTTGAACTTAGAAAGTTTTCCCCTCGAGCAAAAGGAAGAATATATGTACTGGTTTTCTGATAAAAAGGCACATGCTAGGCACGTTGCCTTTGGCTACTCCTTTACTTAATTTAAAATGGTTCTGTTCCAGGGTATAGTGAAGTTGCCAATTGATTTGCTGTAGAGATTTTGTTGAAAAAGCATCTGTCACTACTTTTGGCATATTATACACTTTTAATACATAGGTTTGCAGCTAAGAAAATTTGAAAAAGTATGTGTTGTTTGATTGTAAAAATACTTATAGAACAAAATTACAAAATGTTCTATTTTAACCAGAAAATCTGCCAGTTCTATAGTTTAAACAAAAATATTTGATGTATCTTCCTAGCATATATGACTCATTACTTCTATTCCTGGTTTTCATATATGAGATTTGACTGAAAGAAGACTGAATTTACATGTTGTTCTTGGGTTTTCTCTCACTTTTCATGCTTAGGTTGGATATAAAATATAAGAATTATTAGGGAGAATTATTCCATGTTGTAGTCTAAATAGTTCTTTTCTGTGTACATGTTACTCCACAGTATGTGCATGTATTGTACTTATGTGTGGGTGCCGGCATGTGTGTATTTACTAAGATCATTTTCCACCTGGCTGACATCAAATTTATTAAAAATGTCTATGGCTCAATTTAGACTTGGGTAATACTTTTTTCCTACAAACATTACAAGCAAACTCAAGACTCTTCCCTCGCCATTCATCTCATGCATGTTTTGCTCAATGTTTGGGGCCATCAGCCTGGGAGCCTGTGGTAATGGGATATCATCACTGTTGTCTATATAACCGCCAATTTATAACCCAGGAGAAAATTCTTGCTACATAAGAGGCAATTAGTCAAGGTAGGAAATATATTTACCCGGGAAAGAGAAAATTCACTCACTGCCTCCCTATCTTCCTTCAGAAAAGAGTGTTTCCCCTAAAATAAACATCTCTGTTAATTACCCCCCAGCAGAGGTAGAAGAAGCCTAGAGTAGTAGGTAAACCATTTTGCCTTCAGCCTCAATACTGCAAAAACTGTATCCATGTTGGATTATGTAGTGGCAGACTTAGCATATGTTTAGGGAAAGAGCAAAACAGAGGCAATAGAAATGGAGAAAAAAGAATATTTAAAAACTTTAGGCTTTCAAAACTTCTTAAAGTAGTCATGTAAAAAATTATTTGAACTCCTTATCTGTGTAACAAGGTTTAATTTTTTTTATTACAAATAAGTAAAGAGAAGGGCCATCATAATCATCTCAGAGATCAGATCCTCTAAGGATATAACTAAGAGCTTTGAAAGGAATCAAGAATTTTGGGGCAGCTGAAGGTGAGAGAGAAAGCACTGGCCCACCTTTAATATTGAACAGGTTCCCTGCCACCACCACCCCAAATAGATTACTGAATCTCTTTATCTGTCAAGGAAGGAGAAAGGATTTCATTTTAAAAGCTGATTAGAAAGTAAAAGTAACTTTAAAGGATAATTGCAGAATATACCTGTCTTGCATTGCAAAAGAATCCAAGATTCACATGTTTCAGCTCTATAGAGTAAGAATCTCACATAAGTTCAATCGGTGAGATAAAATCGGATTTTTAAAAGTATTCTAGTAAATAAGGCTGATTTCTACTTAGATATCTGTTTTAGGCATTCACTGAGTGTTGTTTGCAAAAATGTAATTCAGCAAAGTAAAAAGTAACACATTTAGGAAGAATTTTGACCTTCCTGACTTTTACAGAATGGTTTTTTAAGGAAGTGCTTGAATATATCAGAAGTCAAAATGTAATCAAACCTATTAAAATAATAAAGATGCCTTTGTGAACAGGCATTTGCTTTTGTTAGACAAATATCTCCAATGCCACATGGGTCAGATGATAGTTCAGCTCCTCATGAATGAACTCCTTAAGTTAGTTTTTTAGTAAACAAGCTGTAACATCTGACCTATTTTAGTACTTTCTTTCTTGCTAATATAGCATTTTTGTCTTTTTTGTTTTGTATTTGTTGACTTGTTTGTTTTCTCTATTTTTAATAGAAGGGAGAAAGAGCAAGAAAAGCATCTCCAATAGTGTGGAAATATCACAATATCACTGTGAAAAGAACATTCTCCAAAATAGGAAAAATACTATAGTTTTTATGACTCATTGCAGCTTGACTTGACAAGAAATTTTCAATATTGTAAATTTTGGTTTTCCTTTTACTATTATTCCTTTCATTTTATTACCCTTAGGAACGTTTTCTAACAAAATTGTACTTACTTGTCTGCCTTGAATGATAGTGTATCTATTTTTTCCTTGATAGTCCACTACTCCCACATAGTCCAAGTAAAGATCTACCCAGTAAACCAATTTGTTGACTAGGTCTAGTGCCAGTGCAGCTGGCTGCTCTGTCTTTGAATCGATTATCCTTGTTCTGTTCATCCCATCCATGTCACATCTCTCCACTTTGGCGACATTCCCATAGTCAGTAAAGAAAAGTTTTCTGTTGAAAGAAAACTAAATGTTAAAGTGAAGTGGGGGAGGGAAGCACATTTGATGGAGCCATCTGTAAAAAACAGAACTTTTCCTTCTAATTTATTTCAGTGATTACATCTGTTAGCTTCCCATAACCATTTCCATATAATATCACTCATAAACAGAGAAATCTGCTAATGAATATTGCAGGGCATAAGGGAGCAGGTTAACCAACAACTGTAAAATTTCCCCAAAATGAATGATTATAGTGGGTTTATATTTGTATTAGGAGAAATGTTTCTTTAAGCCTCATAGAGCTGATGCAGATTAACCACATTCAATGTAAGCTTCAGAAGTGAGCCAAGTCACCAGGCCAGGGCACGTGAGCTATCAGCCTCTATCCTCAACCTGCTTTTCAAAATGCTGGGTAATGTTTTTCTCCTATAAAAGTTATTATGTGGAGCTCAATGATGCTATGAGTGGTAGAGAATAGCAAACCTGGAATGGAATTAAGCAGATGGAAAAGCAAATGTGCTATTTGTAGCAACAGAAATAAAACATAAATAATCAATTCCCCACCCAAATTTATCCCAAATTCTCCCAAATATTCCCAAATCGCAAAATTTCACTTAAAAAGTGTAGGTCATTTCTCCTCATGTTTTCTTAATATTTATTTTGGAGAAAAGGCTGAAAAGTAATGTTGAGCTCTGAGACAACAAATTCTTTCATGCAGCACTAACGGTGTCTATCAAAGGTTTAAATGTAACTCCAACACTTCAATGTCTACTATTTGATTAGCATTCACTATGTTTAGTAAACACAAATCAATTTTAATTAACCTGACAATATGTAACAAGATTACCGACTCATGAGACTAAATTACATTTGTAAATAGAAGAACATCTTGCCTTGACTAAAATACAATCTCAAGAATAATCCGATTTACAGTGACTGAGTAATATTAAGATTACCTAGAGTATAGAATATTTAATTTCACAAACTTGGTGAATTAGTTTTTAGTTACTTTTCTCAACATTCTTGCATTATCTAACAGTATGGGGTATCGTTCAAGCTTAAACATATTATTTAAACTTTAATTTTAATTTAGCTCTTTCTGCTGTGGGAGACGTTGACTAATTTTAAACATTAGTGCTTACTAGTGGTAATAGTACAAGCCAGATTTTAGTTTAAGTATATATTTCCCCAAATGTTCCTGAAAGGTTAGTTTATTATAAGTTAAAAAATGATTTTTTTCAAGTGATTTCTATTTAGGTGAAGATCTTTCTACTCTAGTGAAAAATAAATAAAAGAGCATATCCTGCAGTTTCATTTTCATGCTAAATGATCAAATCACTGCTTGGCAGGCACACATTCCCTCTTCTCTCTCTCTCTTCCTGCTTCCATCCTGCATCTGTTTTCTTCTCTTATAAATCCATTTGTTCATAACTATGCTGTTTCTATAAGGAGTACCCCACTTCAGTCTTTCTTACGGTAGAACAGTGTTCATTATTCTTGTTACATGAAACTCTTTTTCATAAAATCTCTTCTTTTTTATTTTTCTTTTCCCACTGGTTCATTTCGCAGAGGTGAAGAGGAACTGATGTGCAGGTAATTTGACTTTGGGCATGGAGAAATGGTGGTTCCGGCTATCATGTGACATGTAGAGACTACGTTAGATAGCACTATGAAGCAGGCAATTGCAACTGTCTACATGGTACTGAAGGGGAAAGGTGAGTTTGAAGATCAAGACTTCTCTAAAGTCATCTTGAGATGACTTAATTGGATGTGATCCCCCGATCCCTGAAAAAAAGAGGAGTCTTAGACAAGAACCTTGGAGGCTTGCTATTAGAGAAATAAGAGTAAAGGAGATCAGAGGTTAGCAGTAACACAAATGTTCATAGACATCTAAAAGAGAAAAGTTTCAGAATGAAAAATGGAGTGGCTGACTGGGTCAATCACTTTACAAAACAAAAATGAAGAATATAGATTAAAAAAATGTCACTGAATCTGATATTCAGCCAAATAGCAGTAATTTTTGCTACTTCTGTTTGGGAAGTTTAGTTATGGAGTTAAGAGTGAACCAGATGATGATGAAGGAGTTAAGAAAATGTAAATTATTCTTTCAAGAAAATTTTCATTGATTTTGGCCTTCTATTACAAGAATGATGCAATTCATTCTTACATTTTTTTCTAAGTTATGATAAAACTGATTGAGACAACTCTCTCTGTTTCTGCCAAGTATGGAAAAAAAAAGTGTGTAAATGTATGACTGATGAAAATGGAAACTTCTCAGACTTCAGATTCCTATGATGAGCTCTGTTCACTTTAAATTGAAATGCAAAAAAAAAAAATTGAAGTGCTCTAAAAAATAATAGTAATATGATCATAAAGTTACAACTATTGAGTACCTACAGTCACATGATTATATAAAATTTGAGTGATTGTTTTTAGCTGTGTTTAATTTTAGCTTTAAATTTTCTGTTACAATTTTCTCTATTTCATTCTTAAGGTATTCTTTAGTGGAGGCATGGCTGTATTATAATTGGTAAACACAAGCTAAGGTTTTAAAATATTTAAAATTCAACTATGTCATTTGTGATATAAATGTTTTCAGGTTAAAAATCACTCTTTACTTTTCTATAAAATGTTTTTCCAAATCATAGAAAAGTAAATAGTGCTCTGCAAACTCCATGACTTTATGGATCCTTATGATTTCCCTGAGAGACAAAAGTAGCAGATTATTTGTATTTTACAGATGAATCAGGCTCAAAGCCCTTATGGTTAGTCATTGCTGGAGCCATGTCACATCTTTTTAAAAAACTTGTTATTTGGAATTTCAAACTTACACAAAATTTTTAATTTTTAAGAATAATAGAATGAATGCCTATACCCTTCACCTAGATTCACCAGTTGTTCACATTTTGTTCCACTGGCTACTCACTGAGCCATTTCAGAGTAAATTGCAGACATCATGACTCTTTATTCCTAAATACTTTAGCATCCATCTCTTAAAAAGATTAAGAAGGACAAGGATATCATCTTGCATAAGCACAGTATATCTCTCATAATACTTTTAACAATGTGTACAATGTATAGACCTTATTCAAAATTTGCCTTTTGATAGATAATATTCTTTATTGAAAAAATTCTGATTCAGAATCTAATTCAACATCATACATTATATTTGTCTTTTCTCTCTTGACTCCTTTAATCTTGAGCAATTCTTCAGCTTTCCTTTGTTGTTCATGTTAATATTTCCAACGAGAATATAAGAGTTGCTTTGAAGAATATTCCAATTCGAGATTTGTCTAATTTTTCTCATAATTAGATGATGTTATGCCTTTTGAACTGAAATGCAATGATTTTGCACTTCATTGTTACAACCTCTAGGGCTTAGAAACAGTGGGGAAGTCCATGATTCACCCCAAAAGTTACACAAAAAGGAATTACAATGGTGCTTTGGAATCCCATTCATTCCATCATATCTGATGTTTTCTGAACACTTAACTCTCTTAAATTCCAGTGTCCTCAGTCTCTTTTTAAGCATCTCCTTTCACAAGGAACCAAGTATCCGAGGCTGCCTGTAGTACAGCATGGCCCCCAGTTTAGCACTCTGCCTGGCAAACTCATGGTAGATTGTAGAGACCAGTCCTAGTTCTGCCCTAGGCCCCAATCCATTAGGATTACAATATTAATACTTTAAAAAAATCTCTTACCTGTGTTATCAACTTTTTTTATTAAGCAGCAAAAAAGGAAAATAAAATTGAGATTTCTGTTCTCTTCTACATTTATTTTTAAATGTTATCCTAGTTTCCACACAAAAATTAATATTAGAAGAAACCCATATTCCAACAACTGTCTCTGATTCTAAGATGTTTAACTATCAGCTCACAAAGGAAAACAGCATTTCTTTCAAATTTTTGATTATTCGTCCTGTTCCTTATTTTCATAATTCAGCTTCTCCAGTAAATAGGGTTTTACTGTTTTGGCGTCATTAGCTCATCAGGTGTGGGAAACTGTTTTTGTCTGACATCTTTCTGATTATAAAAGCAGCCCTGTTTGACTACAGATATATAAGTTTTATACAGTTGAGGATAGTAAGAAACTTCAAGTATTATTGGTAAACTTGCCTAACATAAATCAAAAGTCACAAAGGGAGCTCTCGCGGACAGTGACAGAGCACTGTGCTTACAGAGTTATGACTCCAATCATCCCTATACCTTAAAGCAAAGCAATTGTTACTCATACTGACATCTTAAAGCATGTATTTTTTTACCTGATAAAAATAAGAATTACTTTTGCCAGTGATAACCATTTTAAATGATGCTTCTGTACTTTAACTCAAAAAAAAAAAAAGGGAATTTAAATATATCAAAGTTCTGTCCATGTCCTTTAACTGCATAGTCAGTCCTGTCTTTAATTCTTAAATGTGGGTTATAATTTACTGATGGAATTTAGAAATTTTCAAAAAGCTCTCAAAATGAAATGACTTACCATTCGTTTTAACTTTTTAAAAAGTTAGGTTACACAACAAGATTTTTTGAAATGAAGTTAAAAAACAAGGTATTTTACATAACAAGATACAAAATGGGGACTAGGTAAGAGGGGAGTAAGATGAGCCATATACTGCCAGATTTCAAAAATCGTTGCTATGATTGGGGACTGGCAAACTCTCCATGTTTATTAATTATGTGTTAATGAAGAAACTGCATTCTATTTTATTTCAGGAAAATAATACATATTTTCCTCACAAAGGTTTGCATTGGGAACTTTATTATTTTTCTTGTTTTTTTTTATAGTAACTTAGTGTTATCCAGATAGCATCAACAGTGATATAACTTCATTTTTTATTCCATTGTACATTGTACAAAAATTAAGAAAGTAATTTTCTTTAGAATTAAAGTGAGGCATATTTAGAATTAAAGTAGGAATATTAAATATTTAGCACTGTAATTCTAAAATGCAATTGCAAATCTGAAAGAGTAATGAGTCTTTGAAATAAGAAGTTTAAATTCAAATTCTATTAGT